AAAAAAAAAAAAAAAAAAAAAAACATAACGACTAAAGACCAGCGGAAGATAAACCTAGCTCTACCAGCAATACACACAGATCTGACAGCCTTATAGCTGAGAGGAAGAAGTAGGGAAAGATCGGATAGTACGTTAGACAGATACCACATTACAGAGTTCACAACTTCGACAGGCCTTATAAGCCCAGGATTACGTCAAAAAGGCTAACTTAGGCAGGGGTGAATGATGGTACATCCTTCCCGTGGGAAGTAATCAATGCCGTCTTTCGGGCCGTCCTACCATAAAGGGGAGGAGCGTGTGTGAGTACCTTTGTAATCATTTCTGACTTGCCGGTGGAATAGGAACCGGACTGATGCTCCCCAGAATGGAAAAGGAGCCAGAACCGTAAGGTTCTGTTTTTTTTTGGAAAAAAAAAAAAGAAAAAAAAAAAGAAAAAAAAAAGAAAGAAAAAAAAGGAATAAAGCTCAATAAACTGGCGAGTTTATACATTTACTGTGCATATCCCAAAAAAAAAAAAAAAAAAAAAAAAAAAAAAAAATTTAGTGTGCATATAAGGCAGTCGACACGGTTACCTTTACTGTACCTTCGCATTGTGTTGAATGTTTTCTGCTTTTAGTTTTTCTTTTCCTTGGAGCAATGTACCTACATCAGTTGGAACTTTTTTTTTTTCTTTTCCCTCCAAAGGAATGGGGTGGCAGGTGCAGGGGGATGGGATGTTAGACTAGGGGGGGGGAGGAGGGAGGGGAGGGCTTTGTAATTTAAACAAAGCCTTGCTGGTTGGTTGTCACTTGTGGGTGTAATTTGACATATAGGCTTTGCTGATATTGGAATGTTCAGGTCCTCATGCCAAGGTCCCACCTACCCAGATTCTTGGTTTCTGGCTTGAAACCACCAGTACTTGGCCCAGCTATCAGCCACGGGCCGTAGCCGTTAACGCGCCGCGCCTGCGCGCTTCGGGGTACTGGACCACAAAGGCTGGAGGGGCCAGCCAAAACAAAACAAAAAAAACACCGCTGGAGGTTTCTTGGCTCGGCATCGATAGCTGGGCCAACTACTGGTGGTTTAAGAGGCAATGATGTCACGTGTCATCTCAAACAAGAACCCCCCCCGCTACCTGGGGGGGATGGCTTTGTGGAAGATTGTGCGCATATTCCAGGAAGTGTCACACATCACAGGAAGTGTCCATCATCCCCGAAAGTGTCACAAGTTGCAGGAAGTGTGTCAAACATCACCCACACTACCTGGCCGATGACTTTCTGCACATCGGATCACAGAACTGTCACACATTGCAGAAAGTGCCATGCATTGCAGGAAGTGTCACACATCACGCACACACCCCAGGAAGTGTCACACATCCAAGGAAGCGTCAAGAGCGGCACGTCGCAGGAAGTGTCGCATATCACCCGCGCTACCTGGTCGATGACTTTGTGCACATCCCAGGAACTGTCACACTTTGCAGAACTGTCACACATTGCACGAAGTGTCGTGCATTGCAGGAAGTGCCACACATCATGCACACATCCCAGGAAGTGCCACACATCACAGGAAGTGCCGCACATCCCCGAAAGTGTGTCACACATTGCACGAAGTGTCGTGCATTGCAGGAAGCGCCACACATCATGCACACATCCCAGGAAGTGTCACACGTCACAGGAAGCGCCGCACATCCCCGAAAGTGTCACACGTCGCAGGAAGTGTCTTTGATGAACAGAGTGTGGAGAGAGGAGAGAAAGGAGAGAGAGAAGAGAGGTAGAAGAGAGGAGAGAGAGGAGCGAGAGCAGGGAGAGGAGAAAAGGACTGACATGATCATGTTTGCTGCTTTGCAGAAAGAGCAAGTTGATGAACAGAAAGCAAAGCTTGAGAATGCCGAAGCCAAGTGCTCACAGGCTGAAAGGGAGGTTGCTAAGGTACATAGCACAACTTATTCCTTTCTTTCTCTTGATTGTTTTTTTTTTTTTTTTTTTTCATATTTTCAAATTCGAATAATATATACTGTGACTAATGCTTAGTAGCTTACTATATATTTAATATTTTTACTATTTTCTAGCTCATCTTTGATTCCCCATCTGTCTCAGCTTGCCTTGGGCGCATTTCTCTCAATACCCTTTTTTTTTTTGGTATCCTTTGCCATCCGCCCCCGTCTCCAATCTCTTTTTTTTCATCCCTAAATGCACTTTTCAGTCCTGCGGGGGGGGCGAGAAGGAGTTTGTTAACCAGGGCTGAAAAGTAGGGGTCCCTGTTAACCTTCTTGTGCAAGTTTTATTTTTCTTTCCTACTCTTATTCTGCTACACCCTCCTCCTCCTCCTTTCTCGGCAGTTCCGGGTGCGGCACTAGGAGTTCCCTACATATACTCTGCTGCTTCAATTTTATGATTTAGTCAGGGAAGAAGCAGTGTGAGTTTGCCGGCTAACAAGTAGTAGCTTCATGCTAGCAAAGGCCGAACATTGACCATGGTTATGACCAGGTTCATCCGAGTTAATAGTCACCGAGCTGATTCCAATCGCGAGATGTTTGGTGGTGTGGACAACCCCGTCTTCGTTTGCTCTGTGGTGTGCATTGTAGGGAGACGTACAACATGACGAGGAATCGAGGATGATATTGCTCAAGCACAAATTACACATCCGCACTCTGTGTGAAAGTATTATGAATTATATTGAGGAAGATAATCATGACGCATAAAAAAAATATATAAAAAAAAATGACGCATAGATTGTCACAAAGATCCATGGCAGCGGCGGACAAGTGAACCGGACAAGTCCGGACACCGGAAACCGGATTTCCCGGTTTCATCCGAACGTCCGGATTTCCGGTATTTTCCGGTTAATCCGGACATGTCTGGATCGGCCTGTCCGGATCCCTGTCC